CCCCCAGGGTGGGATCCCAGCTCAGACACACCAGGACGTGCAGGATCCCCTCACCTGGACGCCGCGATCTCCGCTTTCTGCTTGGCGATGGTGGCCGCCCTCTCGGCCGCCTCCACGGCCCGATCCACCTTCTCCCGGATCTTGCTGGCGCGCAGCGGGATCAGGTTCTTCCTCTTGCCGCTGACCAGGATGTTCTGCTTGTACTTGCCCTCCTCCTTGGTGCCATCAGGGAAGGTCATGCAGCCGTAGCCGTGGCGTTTGTTGTTGGCCCACTCGCCCTCGTACTTGAGCCCGTCCGAGCGCTGGCTCACGCCCGAGCCCGAGCGCTTGTCGTTCTTCCACTCGCCCACGTAGATCTCGGCCTCTCCCTCTCCCAGGCTGATGGTGGAGTTGATGTCGCTGGCGGTGGAGCTGACCGTGCTCATGCCGGCCTCGCTCCGGAACGAGCTCTGCTTGCTCCGCTGGCTGGCCAAGGAGCTCTTGGACTCGGACTTGCGGAGCTTGAGCCCGCTCAGCAGCGAGCGCCGGAAGATTCCCTTCTTCTTGCTCTTGAGGATCTCGGCGTCGCTGTGGGCCATGAGGACGAAGCCGCCGCGGGACACGGCCGGGCTGCCGGCCACGGCGGGCGAGGCGTCGGGGTGCAGCGCCGTGCCGTTGGTGTGCTCGCTGCGCAGGGAGTTGATGGATGTCCTCAGGGGTGACCTGATGACCGCAGCCATGCCGTAGGGAACGCTCTGCCGCACGCCGTAGCCCTGGCGCATCCCCCCGACCCACTGGCCCTGGTATGTGCCTGCGGACAGGAGGAAAAAGCAAACAAGGGGTGGGTCACGGTGTGTGGACGCGCTGTTAGAGGTCTAGGGAAATTAAAGCTGGGAGAATCGTTGCCGGGATGGAGTTTCTCCTGGTTCCCTCAGATCCGTTCCCAAGCCGATAACGTGTTCGGCTCTGGTAGGGAGCTCTTCCCAGGACCATGGTTTTGTCAAAATAGAATGGAATCAATAACATAGATTAGCACATGGTGCCAACCGTGGCACCTGTTCTCAAGTTTCTCCAGCTATCCAATGAGCCACTGTCTTGTCTTAGCTCACTGGAACACCCTATAAATACGAATCACGTTCTCAATTAAAAAGTCTTCCTTTCCCCAAGGAAGTCCGTGTTGCTCATTGCTTTCTTTAGCTTAGCAGTGACAATGGTGAATCATGGTTTTAGAGAGTTAAGATTTTTGGCTAAGGGTAGGAGTAATTTCCATGGCCAAGGTGTAAGTTAGGTAGGTAAATGGTAGGTTAATAATTGCTTAAGCTAGAGCTAATTGGTATAATTGCTATTATGAACCTGTGTATAGAAGAACGTAAAATAATAAACCGTTAATCATGAAGCATGGGGCCTTGGATGGTGCTAGAGGGTCACTGAGACCTGATGAAGACTCTCCTGACTTCATCCATCGAGACCACTGACCCATTTCGAGAGCACCGACCCAATTCAAGAGAAGAACTGTGCATGCATGAAGGACTAATGGGCTCATTTTAATATGGGGTGGGGATGGGAGGTGCTGGGGTTATGCACATGTATTGTATGTGAGATCTTGGGCAATAAATAGATGGCAAAGATCCTTGCTTGGGGTGGTCACGCCTTTCAGAGGTGACTCCCAAATAAACACACCACTTTCTAACTTTAATTAGTTAGAGGGTCTGTGTCTGTGATTATACCGGTTTTTAAGGGTTCAATGGTCTAAAACTCCTCTTTGCAGCTCTGTGTCAGGAAAATTACTCCACAAACACCAGAGGTTGATGTTGCTGTAAGGTTAGGGAGAGGCCAAAAAATACAGTAACACAGGTTTCAACCAGAAAGCAGAAGAAGTGATTTACTGCAGGCACGTATTTATATTTATATTTATATTTATATTTATATTTATATTTATATTTATATTTATATTTATATTTATATTTATATTTATATTTATATTTATATTTATTTAGGCACATTTTTATAGACCGGTTCACTGAACCAAGGGCAGAATAAACTCATTGGCCCAAGGAAGGCAACACCTCTTGTAAACATGCTTTTACCAAAACATCACGTTCTTCACGCACTCCTCCTGTCCACAACACCAGGTGCTAAACTTTGTTATTAATTCTTTCCCTTCTCTTTTCCTTTGAGTACCTTGGGAAAACTTAGACTGCTGTTTTCCCTGGCTCTTACCAGCATCCACAGGTCACGCTATCAAACTCCTCTAGGAGCCCTGTGCAGCTCTGTGTCAGGAAAATTAATCCACAAACACCAGAGGTGTATGTCCAAAAAGGAGACAGAGGAGTCCTTTTTGCTTTATTGGAAAAAAGAGAGAGGCCATGGGGCATTCCCCGGGATCTCTCAATTTTTTAGAGGATGCAGCCTCCCCTTTTATCCAGGATTCCATCCTTTCAGGGCATTCCCATCCATCCCCAGATCACAGGGAAAGATCTGCTCTTCCCACTCTTCTGCAGTCTGCTTCCTACCTGGCATTCTAGTGGGATTTTTAATTTTTTTTTCCAGCCATCAACTTCCCTTTTTATCCAAATTTCCCTGCCACATTTCCCTCTCTCTTTCTTCATTGGCTGAGGTACTTGAGAGGTACAGACTTCCTGGAATGTCTGAGACCTAAGACTCCCCTCTAATATATAACCCTTCCTTTTAATTTTTAATTCTTATAGAATTCATAGTTTTTCCCCATTGCTTCTTTCATCTTTCAATATCCAATTTCATTGATCAGCAAACCTACAGTTTGTTTGTAAAGGCAAATATCTTTTCCATTCATCCATCAGTGGAATCCATCCCATTGTTTCTTTTACCTCTCAGTGCTAGTTTTATCTACCAGAAGATTCACAGCTTGTTTGTAAAAACAAATCCGACATTCCTCTGGAATCCCAGTCCCATCTTTGGGATGAGGATTGCAATGTCGGGGTGTGGAGGGAATATCGGTTGGATTGCAGGTTTGCAGTGCAGCTGCAGCACGGGAATGTTAGAAACCAGCCAAGGCATCAAGGAGCTGCCCCTTGGATCAATCCCTAACGAGAAAGGGAAGGGAGCAGGGCTGTGGAATGGGGGAATGGTTATCCAGGAGCACACTCCCATCCCATCCATGTTACAGTGGATGGATAATGTAAAACAATACATTTATTTATACATTATATATAATGTAAAACAATACATTTATTTATGCACACGGTGCCTTCATCCTCTGTGCTGGGGGAGGAAGCAGCTCCATGGAAATAAAGGCCTCACAGGGACAAATCCATTTGGATATTCCCCTTGGAACTGTGCCCCTGTTGGAGCTCCTTCAGTTGTGTGGGCACTTCCTGGAGTTTCTTAACTGGTTGTTGGTGGCATGAGACACAAACAGGGACTGGGAATGGGGGGACAAGGAACCCACCCAGCCCAGAGGGCACAGCTGGATCTCAGCACCCTCCCTGTGCACTGAAATTTGGGGTGGGTGGTAATGGGCTGGGGGTTCCTAATCCCATCCCCTCCTGGAGCTCAGAGGTTGGCACAATTCCAACCAGTTCCAGGTGCTATCCCAGCTGGTTGAACCGCAGGGTTTGTTTTTATTCTTAGGTCAGCTTAATCTCCAGACCAGCTCGAGATGCAGTGATGCTCTGCTCACCTAAACCGTCCTGGGGCAGATCCAGGAGCCCAAGGGTGGCTCCTCCCCGGGCTCTGGAGCTGCTGGAATGCTGTGAGCAGTCCCAGCCCCAGGATGTGAAGAGCTGGGATGAGCACAGGCAGCACCTCGCAGCACTGGGACCTCCCTTTGTGCCAGCCCAACTCCCAAATGCCCGGGGAGTCTGAAAATAGATCTGCTGGAATAGTGAACCCTGTGGGAATGGGGCCAGTCCTACCCCGGGACTCCCCAAGGAATTTCCCTGCCTGGTTCTGGGGCTCAGCAGTGGCTCTGGGCTGGAGCTGCTCATGCTGAGCACAGGAATTGCTCCCTGAGAGTGTGAAACCAGCACCTGGCCACATTTTGGGGTGTATTTTGGGGTGTATTTTGGGGTGTATTTTGGAGTGTATTTTGGGGTGTATTTTGGGGTGCTTCAGCTCTCTTTTAGCTGCCAGTGCTTTGCACAAATCCTCCAGGATTTGGGCACCTTTCCCCGTGCTCCAATGGCATTACATTATTGGGGTGGCAGCTTTGTGCACCCCAAAAACCAACAGGGCCAAGCTGGGGAGCCCACAGAGCCTGCCCTGGAGAAGGGACGTGGAGAGGCAGGATTTATAGGGTTTATAGGGTTTATAGGATTAGCACTGGGATTAGGGCAGGCAGTGGCAGGGCAGGGTGAGGAGGTGGTGACAGGGAGAAGGATGGGGGACAACCTGTGAGAGGGAGCTCAGGGGACACAGCAGACATGTCCTGAGGGGGTGTTGAGCAGTGAGCCTGCCTTGTCCCCTGTGGTATCCCCAAAAACAGGGAACAATCAGTGCCATGCACACATAGCTGTCTCCATGGCTGGAATGGTGGCTGTGGCCAGGGAGTTCCTGCATTTCCAAGGTGTCCCTGCATTCCCTGGGGACTTGGCAGCACCTCTCTTCCCTTTCTGTCTCCATCCCAGAGTGTCTCTGCAGCACAATGGAGCAACTGGGGGGGAGATTCCCCCCAGCACCCCGAGTTCTCCTGCTGTAAAACACTTTTTCCTATTCCCTTATCTTTGCCTGAGAGCTCCTTAATTTCAAAATTATAATCATTTAGAGGGAGGGGGTTTACATTTGTCATTTCAAGAGAGGCTCCTGCCTTCCTTAACAACCTCCTGTCTTTCAAACCAAAACACTCGCCAAGGAGCCCCCAGGGTGGCTTGGGTTCCCTAGGGATGGATTCAGTGGTTTTCAGGGAAACATGCCAGTGTGGGCAAGGGCACAGGGAGAACAGGTCCTGCATGAGATCCACCAGATCCCACCCTGCCCAAGTCCTGATCTCCCTTTCCCTTGGCTGAATCCCTTGACTCGATCCCTGACCCCACACAGGTCCCTCAGAGCCTCCTCATCTCCTGGCAAATGCAAAGCTAAAAAAACTCCCTGGGTTAAGCTGGGGCAGCGTGAAGGATCACAGCCCTGTGCTGGAAACCTGAGGGACTGGCAGGGAGCAGAACAAAGCTCTGCAGGCTGGGGCACCGGTGGCAAATTGGTCCCAGCAGGTCCCAGCTGCAGTTTGTGCTGTCCCCAGCCAGGCTGAGGTGCTGCCATCCCTGCCTGGCCTTCAAACCTGCTCCTGGGATGGCACAGCTGCCAGGAGCACTCTCAGCATCTCCTTGGCATCTCCTTGGCATGTCCCTGGCATGTCCTCAGCAAGGTGGATTTTCCAGCCACTCTGTCCTGCTTGTCCTCTCCCAGCACCCTGGAGCAATTCCCAACCTCTTTCCTCTGCTTTCCTGGGTGTCCTTGCTTCCCTGCATGGCAGCAGCCCGGATTATCCCCAGGGATCACCTCAGAGGCCACCCTCGTGTCCCCATGGCCACCAAGACAGCTGGGCAGCTTCAGAGCCACCAGCAGATCAAAGAGCTTCCTGTCAGGGAGCTCAGTCCTTCCTCAGCCAGCAGGGCTCCTTCCTTCCCCTGGCTGCAGGATGTTTTAAACCCCTGGATATCCCGGGATTTGGCCATGGAGCCATCAGATCTGCATTGCTGAGCCACCTCCTCCCCGAGCCCAGCTCAGCTTAACCTCTGCCCCAACATTTGCAGATATGTGCACAAAGATTGATCTCACAAGGAGCCTGGAGACTCCTTCTCCCTGCAGGGGAAAGAAATTTCCCCATTTCAGGATATT